TTAGTAATCTTCCAAATAATGAGTTGGTGTCCTGTCAGCTTCCAGAGGTGAGCAGTGTGGCAGTGGTGGTGTTTTTAGCTCTCATGGGTTTTTATATACTTGTCTTCCATTCATTCTTTTTGATCCTCACATTGTCCCCATCTTTGACCATCTGGAGCTCCTCCCTCCCCTCTCCTGTGGCGCCTGTGTTCTCATGACATGACCAGAGCAGGCTTCCATAGCTTCCTTGCTTTCACGACAAGCCAGGTTCATCTCAAATTGAGGAATGTCCTACAGTCATTAACCAGTACTCTTGAAAAGTGTAGATGAAAGGTAAAGAGAGACTATAAGGAACTGTCACAGTTTGGAGGAGACTAAACATAAATCACAGCTAAATGTAATGTGAAATCCAATGTTGGACCCTGATATAGAAAAATGACATTAGTTGGGAAACTGGTGAATCTCAAAATCCATACTTCCATTTAAAAAGTAATTTTTCCAATTTAAAAATGTTTATGTAGATTTACTTAGCTTCTTTAAGTTTATATTTGTATTTCCTTTCTTTTATGCTGAGAATCTGTGTACCTAACATTAATATAATTCTTATTTACTTTATCCTTGATAGTGTGTAGATGTGTGGGTATGTATGTATATAATTTATAAAATAAAATAGTTTCAGAGTGATGATACCAACATTAATCCCAAACAAGCCTACTGAGTGCATTTTAAGATTTCTTGGTGAAGTTTTAGGATTTCATATGCAAGTAACTGTCTTTTAAAATCACAGTAATTCTTCTCTGAAGAGTTATGCCACCAGCCTGATATATAGTTAAGTTTGAGATTGGGTATTGTCGTGGGTGTCCAAATAGACAATAATATATATTTAATTATGAAACAAACATTTTTGGTATATATGAAAGTAATTCTTTGGAAACTGATGTAAAAATCTGAGAGTTATACAGCAAACCCTTGAACAACATGGGTGTGACCTGCAAAGGTCCACTTACGTGCAGATTTTTTTCAGTAAATATATTGGAGAATTTTTGGTTAGGTGTGCCATGAGTGCATGACTGACAGGCCATTAGTAATTAACTGCTTAATTACTACTTAAGTAACAAAGGGGCGCCCCCCCCCCCCCATCCTTCTATCCCAGGGCTCAGGGCACCAGGCTGCGAGGGGACCAGGGAAGGCGAAAAGCAAGAGACATATTGAGTACTTAAGTTTTGGGGAAGTTAGAAGTTATACGCAGATTCTCTACTGTGTGGGGTTGGCACCCCTAACCTCCACGATGAACAAGATCTATAAAACTTTTTTTTGAGGAAAATTCCACACATTATGTTATTTCCCCAGTAAATATTTCACTGTGCATCTCTAAGAGGTAGGGTCCCATTTTTATTAAACATAACCACAATATCATCATCACACCTGAGAAAATACAGTAATTCCATCACACATCCTGTCAGTGTTGTATCTCTGATTATCATTTTTTAATATTTGGTTTGAATCATTTATCCAAATAAAGCCATAGTTTGGCCACCATGTGTTGTGAGTCTCCTTTTGTGTTAAAGAAGCCAGTTTGCTTGTCCAGCAGTTTCCCACTGAGTAAAACCCTGTGGTGTTCCTCTCACCCTTGTATTTGCTATAAATTTGTAATAAGATATAGGGGCATGATCACATCTTGTTTTTTGTTGTGGTTTTTGCAAGCTCACAGATACAGTGCTGCTGGTCTTTCCCTCAGTAGGTACATAATTTCTGACTGAAAAAATACGGGTAGTATAGACAGTAAAGGACTCTTCTACTTGATTTTGTTTTTCTTCAGCTATCATAGCTTATTTTCAGACACAGGTGTATCTTAAGAACAAATATTTTCTATGAGAATCTTAAAAGTCTACAAGTTAATATTGGTGAAAGCATCTGCACCACCTTCTGTGACTTATCAGTCTGGGTACTAATCTGCTTCTTTATTTTTTTGTGAGAACTGATGTTTGATGACATGTAGGTTTCTTAGAAAACTAAATCCATCAGTTTTGCGGGAAGCAGCCTCAGAGAGCAGGAGCCAATCTCCCTGCTAGCTTCTGCAGTGCTGTTTGGGGGAGGGGAGGCGGGAAGAAAGTGCAAGTAGTTCTCTGCACAGGTGTTGCAGGATCATCTGCTTAATTTTTAAACCACAAATGTCTGATCTACAAAACTGTAAAGTCAAAATTTCCTTTAGATCTGTTTCCTAAAGTTTAGTCATTCACATTCTACTTAGAAGGTTTTTGCTGTGTGCCAGTTGCATTTATACCAGTACTTAATATATTATTATTATTTTTTTTTCCTTTTTGTCTTTTTTCGTGACCAGCAACGGATCGCAACCCTCAGTGTCGTGCCCATACCGGACTGGGACCGGCAACGGGATCGCAACCCTCGGTGCTGCGCCCGCACCTCGCTCAGCCAGTGAGCGGCCGGTCTGTATGTGGGATCCGAACCCTTGGCGGGAGCGCCGCCGCGCTCCCAAGCAGCGCACTATAGCAGTGCGCCACCGGGCCGGCCCTTAATATATTAATTTTAAATGGACTTTTTTTGCTTAGTTTGACAAGAAGACCGTTGGTTCCACACGCACATAAAAAGATACATCCACGGGCCGGCCCAGTGGCGCACTGCTACAGTGCGCCCCCTGGGCGCGTGGCGGCGCCCCCGCCCAGGGCCCGGATCCCACATACAGACCGGTTCCCGCTCACTGGCTGAGCGAGGTGCGGGAGCAACACCGAGGGTTGCGATCCCCTTGCCAGTCCCGGTCTGGTGCGGGCGCGACACTGAGGGTTGTGATCCATTGCCGGACATGAAAAAAGACAAAAAGGAAAAAAAAAAAAGATACATCCACACTAAAAGAAATATACAACTACTGAAATTTAATATATTTTTTATTCATTTCACATTTTGGAAAACTGATCTTTGTGAAAGTTATTTATTTAAAGCATTCTTCACTGGTAGCTTACATTTCAGATCTGTTTTATAGCATTTAAATGTTTTGTGCTTTTGTGATTGATGTTACAGTTTTGGCAATTGTGTGAGATTGATTGCCTTTAATTATCAGACTATTTCATAAACGAGGGTTTTGAGAATTTATCTTAAGCAGGTTATTGAGAATAGGGAGTGCCATTATAGAAACAAAAAAGGCTGTATCATTACCTAGGGAGACTAAAATGGTTTTGCTTTTGAGGTTTTTTTTTCTGGCACTCTGATGCTATGCGTTTTCAGAAGTGCCTATAAAGATATCTGGATTAAATCAAGTTCTTTATCTTGTTTGTGAAGCAGTGTAAGTTGCAGTGAAAAGGAGAAATGTCAAGCCTGGATGTCTAGGAGTCTTCATGATAGGATATTATGAGAGTTATCCCTTCTGAACCATGGTTACTTCTTAAGCCATTTGGGAAAGGTTTAATGAGATGTTATATGTTGAAGGTCAGTGTCTAGCTGTTGAGTGAATGCTTCTCAAAGACTAGAGTATTTGTACCATGTTCTCAGATTGTTTTCAGTTTCTTGCAATTCAGGATTGTGAAATGATTTCTTTTTAATTAATGTTTACTTGTCTTGATAACTGTTGTCCTTGAACACAATTAAATTAATGTGGCTGATTGAAACATATATAAATTTGGGATTCATCAAAAACTGTATATATTTATTTCTGGAGTTTATTAATCTTATGTTTTTCTGGGTTTTTAAAATTGTGTATATTTAAGGTGTACAGAATGATGTTTTGACATACATAGTGAAGTGGTTACTTTAGTTAAGCTGATTAATATATGTGGTAAGAGCACCTAAACTGTACTTTTTAAGCAAATTTCTAGTATACAGTACAGTAACTAGAGTCCTCATGTTGTACTGTTAGCTCTCTAGACTTACTCATTCTATGTATCTGTAACTTTGTACTGTGTCCCTGGATGTTCATCTCCTCATTTCCTGCCCCTACTCCCTCCCACCTCCTGGTAACTACTGTTTTACTCTGTTTCTGTGTGTCTGACTTCTTTCTAAGATAGATTCCACGTGTAAGTGTGTGGTACAGTATTTGGCTTTCTTTGCCTGGCTTATTTCACTTAGTGTGTGATGTCCTGGTTCATCCGGGTTGTCGTATATGACAGGATTTCCTTCCTTTTTTAAGGCTGAGTAATATTCCTTTGTATGCACGTACTCAGCACAATTTCTTTTTCCATTGATCATCAGTGGACACTTACGTTGTTTCCATATCCTGGCTGCTGTGAATAATGCTGCAGTGAACATGGGAGTGCAGGTATCTTTTGAGGTGGTGATTTCATTTCCCTTGGATAAATACCCAGAAATGGAATTGCTGTATCATAATGGTGGTTCTGTTGTTAAATTTTTGAGGAACTTGCATGCTGTTTTCTACAACGGCTGTACCATTTTACATTTCCACCAGTTGTGTGCAGGCTTTCTGTTCCTCACACACTCACCAACACTTGTTGTCCCTTGTCTTTTTCATAACAGCCATCCTAAAAGGTGTGAATTAATATCTTACTGTAGTTTTGATTTGCATTTCCCTGATGATTAGTGATGTTGAGCATCTTTTCATATGTCTGTTGGTCATTTTTATATCTTCTTTGGAAAAATGTCTATTCATGTCCTATGGCCATTTTTTAATCAGGTTATTTGGGGGTTTTTTGTTTGTTTTTGCTATTGAGTTGTATATATCTTGGATATAAGTCGCTTAATTTTCTGTTTTTTTAAAAAGCATGAGTGATTTGTCTGTGTTAGCACATGGTTTCTGAGTTTTCCAATATTATCATCACCACCAAATTGGTGTGAAGATGAAACTTATTAAAAAAACAAGTATTCATGGTGAGTAAAGTGTACATTATGGGTAGATTTCTTTAAAACTGCTTAGAATCTAGGGGGATACACATGTCCTGGAAAACTTGAGGATTTTAAGACCTCTTAGTAGTTTCATTTTAAGAATCAATCATACTTTGCCCTTCAAATGACCTGTTTACTGTCTTTGCCATTTTACAGCATCCCGAGGTTAGCATTAAACTTCTCCCAGTGGAGCTCATGACTTCTGATCAGGACGCTAAAGTTGTGGCTGAACCGCAGGCGCAGCGCGTCCAGGAAAGCAAGGACAGCTCTCATCTGGTGGGTGCCATTGGAAGGAAGGCTCGGGGATCTGTATCTCTTCTCTTTCTGAGAAAGGCCTCTGTGTTGGACTTAATAAGGAAATCACAACAGTAACACTAGGATATCTAAGGATCCACATATGGATGTTACAGTCTTGTAGGGAAGAAAAGATTTCTCACCCATCTGTAGCTCATAGCCAAGACCCCTAGAACAGAAGACAGGTTAACAAGAGAAGAGCGTACACATTTATTTAATAGTAAGTTTTACGTGACAAGGGAGCTTCAGAAATGAAGACCCAGAGAAACAGGGAAATCCGTGTATTTTATGCCAAATTTGATACAGAAGTAGATAGTTGTGGAGAAGCATGATTTGACAACGGGTGTGATCTAACGGTAACAAACTGGGGAGAACTTAGCAAGCCTAGTTTATTCATATTTTTCTGGGCATCACTGAGTGACATTCCTTTCCTCTGGGAATAGAGCAGGGCCCCTCTGGATGAGGGTCTTGTGACCTATTTTCAGGGTAAGGTCAATTAGGTTTTATGGCCCACAGGGCATGGGGAATTGTTTCTTGTTTCTATGGCCTAATTCTGCTGTTTCCTCAAATGCCAAGGTGCCTTATTTGGGGAACCATGCCCTGAACCCCAAGTCAGCCTGGAAAAGATATATGGTTGGCTTTATAGAGGAAACTGTAAGCACAAGGTGACAGCAGAGACAAAAGGTGGTTATAGCTCTAGATACTTGAAGCTTTGCATTTCAAATCAGGACAATGCAGTGACATATGTACTTTAAAAACATTATAGCCATCATAGTAGGGTGTATTTAAAGAGTTCAGTTATGATTTTAGTATAAATTTTTAGTTTTGTATGCATTCATTCATTTTAAACTTTTATCCTGTCAGGCAATAATATTTAAGTTTCTAAGTGGTTTTGGGAAAAGCAGCTTTTCTTAATTTTCCATTGAAACTACAAAGAATTTTACTTATGTTCAGTAAAAATTTCAAAATTTAAAATTTTAAGGTTCCTGTATTATACTGAATATGTTATGAATTTGTCAATTCCTTTGTCATGAAAAAATGTGCATTTCTCAGCGGATTTGGTTTTGCTTAATTACTGTGGTTTGAAAATATCTTATTACATTGTAGTGATGGTGTCTTTGATGTTTTCAATTTGACAGATGAATGGTCCTATATCTCAAACCACTTCTCAGACAACTTCCATCCCAGCTTTGAGTCAGGTAATTCAATTCCAAGATTAATCGCAGATTTTTTAATCACAGATATTTCTTTATGACTAATGTTTACTGTATTAAAAAAAAGGTTAGAAAATGTAGATGTTTCTCAAAAAGGTGGTAAGGGACCCAGTATAGTATTGTTACTACTGTGTGTTCTTTCCTGGCTTCTGTGCTAATATGCGTATATTGTGTGTATAGTTCCACAGAACTGTGTGCCAAATGCATTGATTTATTTTCAAATACTCATCACAGTGTTTTTAATGGTTTGCTGATAATCTATCATATGTATATGAGTAGTTTTACATTTTAATAGCCTGTGTTCTTTAAAGCACAGAAGTGAATATTAAGTTTTATTAAGAAAATTGTTTCACATTTTAGCTGTGATTAATAAAAGCATAAGGAAATAGAAATCCATTGGTTTTTAAATCCCCCTTTTCACCATTTGTATATGCGTATATAAAGTGCACTTGGAGCGACTCCAGAATCAGTTTGATACACTTCTAAGTATCATGCAAATCTTACAAAATCTATAATAAACCTCATTTATTCTCTCAATTATAAGCAGTTCATGTAGAAATTAAAGGAAGGGTTAGGGCTGGCCAGTTAACTCAAGTTGTTTAGAGCAATAAGACCAAGGTTTTGATTACCATACTAGCAAGCCACCAAGAAAAAAAAAAAAAAGAAATTAAAGGAGGGGTTGGATTGATAATGTACTTTTAATAAGTTAGAATTTAAAAAAATTAAGACACCCCCCCAAACTATTATATTTCATTATTTATTACTTATAATAATTTTTGGTGTGTCTGGTTTTACGTTGATTTTTAAATGAGTTTTATAATATTTTAACGTCATTTTAAAATCCAAATGTAAGGGGCCAGCCCGGTGGCGCACTGGATAGTGCGCCGCTTGGGAAGCGCGGCGGCGCTCCCGCCCGAGGGTTCGGATCCCACATGTGGACCGGTGCCCGCTCACTGGCTGAGCGAGGTGCGGGAGCAACACCGAGGGTTGCGATCCCATTGCCGGTCCCCGGTCCGGTACGGGGGCGACACTGAGGGTTGCAATCCGTTGCCGGACACGGAAAAAGACAAAAAAAATAAATAAATAAAATAAAATCCAAATGTAAGACCTTTGGTAGTCTAAGAAGGAAATTAGAAATTACAAAGTAATTTTTTACAAAGTAAATTAGGCATCCCTTGCATATAGAAATCTTCAAGGGTTATTTGTTGGTTTGTTTTAACAAGTTCCTATCCTCCCCATGTTTGATTTGCATTCAGCATAATAATCAAACATCTTTTAAAACCTCTTGCGTGGCATAGAGCTAGGTTTTGCATTCTTTGGTTGCTTGCTTGCTTTAATTGCTTTGTGGTGAGAATTGAGATGAGGCCTGTCCAGTAAAGAACTGCAACCCTTGAGCCAGAATTCAATATTTCATTTCTGTGGAGACATAGTTAGCAACAAATGCTGCCTACACACACTGTCTATGGCCTTTGAAAGAGTTGAGTTCCTACGACAATACAGTATGGCCTGTGCGCCACAGCCCAGTTGTGGCCCTGCTGCTCAGGAGCCCTGGTGGATGGGGCAGGCACGTCTCTGGCAGTGGTCGGTTGTAACATGTATGTCATCGGCTCCACAGGGTATTGCACACTTCAGTGTTCATAGGATCCTGAAGTACTAAGGCTAGAAGGTACCTGAGAGACCATCATGGCTTACAATGCGCGTGTTCTTTAAAACATAACAGTCTTAAGCATCTTTACAGAAAATAAAAGTGTTGTTAGAGTCCAGCATTTTAATATAGTTGTAATCAGTATGTACAATTTCACCTCACTTTTTCATACTAAGCAAGGTTTCATCTCTGTGTCCCCATGTACTGTCCCCTTTTACTTGCCATGTCGTATTTTCTTTATGTTGGTAGGCCATTTCTTTAGCCATTTGATTTTTAGGGACATTTACATTATTCATCGTTTTTCTGCTAGCGTGAATGGCGTTTCTCTGAATGTTTTTCTAACTGGCATTATTCATAGCACACCTAAGTGGGTGGACAGTTATGTGCTTTATAGGTTTCCAGGAGACATGAGTGGGTTTTAGTGACTACGTATTGATGCCCAATAGCCTACAGTTTTTATGATTGTTAAGTGAATATACTTAGCAGTCTGACTTGAGGAACCAGTCTCTTTAAGGTTTAGTCTTTCCACCAAAGCTGGATGCAGTGTAAATAGGAGAATTGCAATAGATATGCCCAAGTAAATATATGAATAATTCAGGAGCAGGTTTGCATTTATCCATTGGTAATATTAGTCATATATATTGTACAGCTTCCCCCACAAAAACTTATTAAGCTGGTAACTATTTACAAGCCTAGCTAACTAATGAGCACAAAAAAGTGATCTTTATTGTAAGAATATGATTTACCTATTGAGTGTAAGAACAGGGTATTAGAATGAGTGACTTGATTGTCAGCACTATTCAAGTTTGTGTACATGTTTTCTCCACTAAAGTGTAAACATCAGGGTCTGTGTTCTGTTCTTTTTCTTTCTTTTTTTAAAAAATTTTTATTGAATCATAATTGATTATACATATTTTGGGGGTTCACCGTTGACATATGTTAACCAAATCAATATTACTAGCATATATATTGTTACAAATCATACTTATTCTTTATGCCCCTTGTCCAATCTCTCTCCATCCCCCTCTTCCTCCCCCCTTCCCCTTCTAATTACCCTAGATTTCTTCTCTTCTTATAAAAGAGTAATGGTTACTCTATTGATTTGTTGCCTAGATAATCTGTCCAATGCTGAGAGGTGTGTTCAGGTCCCCCAATATTATTGTAGAGCAGATGCTTCTGTCACTCTGGAATGAGCTTTGTGGAGAGAGACATCCTCTTTTCTTTATCTCTGCTGGTGACTCTCCTTGTGTCAGTGCACTACAGTGGTTGGCAGACCATCTGCACAGTGGTTGTGGTGTCTAGCTGCTTTTGCGGGAGGTGTGGTTATTGTGCCTGTGGTGGGCCAACCACATGGAGGTGATGTTTTTGGTATGCTCCTTACTTAGTTGGTGGTGGCGATGGTGGTGTGCCCTGTTTTGAGAGGGGGATCTGGTCTCCACTCCATCCCTCAGGACCCTGGGTGGGCCCCGTGGCACTTGCAGTGTGCCTGGTTATCCCCCCTTTCTGGTGTGTTCAGGTCCCCCAATATTATTGTAGAGCAGATGCTTCTGTCACTCTGGAATGAGCTTTGTGGAGAGAGACATCCTCTTTTCTTTGTGGAGAGAGACATCCTCTTCTTTGTGGAGAGAGACATCCTCTTCTTTTGCTTCCATTCTTGACCTGCTACAATCCACTCTCTTAATGCACTGTATAGTACAAGTGATGCTATTCCCAGGGGACTTCCAATCTTTCTAGGTGTTATAGGTGTTCTTTGGTGAAATGAGACCTTTACTAGTAAATATCAAACTTTGTCTCTGGTTGTGGGCACTCTGTTTTTTCCTTCAGTTCTTTGTTGGATTATTTGCTGTTCCCACCACTTAAACTCTGCACTAGAACTAATTTGTTGTCCTTTGCTTATTTCTAAAGTGGGGAAACTTCCTGTGGGGACCAGTGCTTGAGCTCTGTGGTTGAGCTAAATTGCTGCTTTGCCGTTGATTCCCTGGGGAAGGCTTTTTGTGCAGCTCAGGTTTTTTTAATGGTTGACTTCCGGGTTTAGTGACATCCAGTGCACCTGGGTTGTGTAGAAACACTGGTCTTGGCCTGAGTCTTTTCGTCAAACTGGATCCAGTGCAATTCTATTCTGACCAGTCTCCTCTGAGTGGTCCTACACTGATTGGGGGACAGATCAGCTGTCCTTGCTGTGTCCCAGTGTTCTCCTGGTGGGCCTGTCTCCCCCACTGCCTGTGCTGCAAACACTTCCCATAGGACAGGCTGTACGCCAGTCCCTTGCGGTGACTCACCAGCCTCTGAGTGGCACCTTTTTTCAGTTTTTGTGGCTCCTCATTCCTGTGTGGGTCCACGGGAAACCTGTTAGTGGTACTGCTGGTCTGGGGGCCACCAAGGACCTCTTCTCCCCTGCTGCCTCCATGCAACTTCATCAGAAGGGCACAGCTGTGGCTTTTGCTGGCTCCTGTTCCATGCGCTCAGCAGCTCCAGCCTAGAAGTGGCCAGGGCTTGAAATGGTCAGAGAGGTTTTTTTCTTTCTCTCATTGTGGCTTCCTCTGGCCTTCATGCACTCCGTAGGTCTCTCCTCCTCTTCCCCTGAGCTCTAGCGGCCCCAGCTTGGCTGTCATTGCTTTTTAATAGTTGTAAATTAGTTGATTTGTGAGAGAGAGTGACACTGGGGACCGTCTGTTCCTCCGTCTTGACCGGAAATCCCCTGTTCATTTTTTAAAAATAACTTTATTGAAGAATAACTTACATTCTGTAAAACTCACACATTTAAAGTATACAGTTGAATGATTTACTGAGTTGTGTAACTATCACTGCAGTGTAGTTTTAGAACATTTCCATTACCTAGTTAAGACCTCCCACCAACTCCCTCTGAGCCCATTTACAGTTAATCCCTGTTCTTCCCTAGCCCTGGGCAATCACACATGCACTTTGTCTTTCTGCAGATTTGTCTTTTCCTGTGCCATATTCACTCCTATAGTCCTTCTGGGTGTTTTGTGTCTAGCAGGCAAGCAGCACTTAATCAAAGGCAAGTAAGTATTCATTTGTTCAGCAAGCTAAGCGTGGGTGATAAAGACGGATGAGACACTCTCTGGAGCACAGGATACAGACGTGTCTACAAGTAGCCCTCACACAACATACTAGTTGTATCATCAACGTTGTGTGCACCTTAGGTACAGGCTGAGCACAGACATGGAGGTGTAGGAGGCATTGAGATGAGGTTAAGTCTGCAGAAGAACACTCCTCATTTTGTCCCTAGGAAAGGAGGGTCACTTCGGATGTTTGAACCTTGACGTAATAAAGGTCTCTACTGGTTTTGTAGCATACTGTACTAATAGTTAAGGTTACG